AACATCATGGATGACGCTAGCGAGACAGAAACGGATGGAAACAGTGCTGTGGCCTGCACGACAAGTGAGGGCTAATCTAAGTATCTGAGTGAATTTATCAAGGAAATGCATACGAAAATTTAGGCGAGCATATTCACAAAAAGAGCTAAAACCTTCGATTTTTCGGCAGACTTTAGATTTTGAATACCCGTGATAACTTCAAATTAGAATTTTGATCTCTAGCTAATCTATTCCTGAACTATGAGATCACAGAACACTAGTCTTGGACTATCTTGATACCCAAAAACTCAGCTGTACAATGCAAGATTTTCTACCGCAGCTAGCGCAGATGTGAAGTCGACTGCGCAAAAGATGCGTCAACAAGCACAAATTTGCTCTATGACACTCTTCGAAAGACAACAATTTATTGTGAACTTCTTCATAATACCTTTAAAATATATCGCTTATTCCTTAAGCCCTTTCAGTGCTGGCTTAATCGCTTTTAATATACCTTTATTTCTGAAATATTTTCATCTGATTCTTGGCATTTTATGAATACTTAAGACTTTATTCAATCCTGCACATGACTCACAAATTACAATTGTACGAAAAGCTCATTATCCAATGCACCCTTAATTAGGTTCCCAGAAGCCCTTACCTGACTTCTTGTGCCCAACTTCACCTGCATCATAGTTCGCCCAATCGAAGAACCACCAACAAAACATCCAAAAAATGATGAGATTGTATGCCCAGCTCCAAGAGCAAACCATTCCTTAATCGTAGACTTTTACATCAAACTATTGCCTCATGACTGCCATTATTCGCACCTGGTTCACGTCAATCTCATAGTTGAATTTTTTCGATACCAACTTAGCAAGCGCAATATGTATAACAAACGATATAATTGCAACAGTTACGCCTTGCCATAAGAGTTCACCAACTTGTTCAAATGGAGGTACACGTGGACTAGGGAATCCAGAATCCACCTTTAAACATATTTTAAAGCATTTTGAAGAAGAAATTGTGCAACAGCCCACCTTTCCTACTATAGGAACATTGATTTGATAACGAGTATCTTCTGACAGATATACAAGAAGAATTGAGAAAACAACCTTGATTTGGATTCTAAGTTTTAAGATTGTAAGCCGCAAAGTCAAATACGTACTAAGAAAAATTCCATTGGAAACTTGAGATTAATCCATTTTCTAATGATAGGGTCAATAAAACAACTTGACAAAAGCAGGAGCGATATGGTTATTGCTGATAATATCAGACAGTGGAGCTTTATCGTGTGAAGCTGTTGAGAAAAGCATAGGTAAAACTGCAAATCTCGGTTACACTGACACTTTCTGGGCCTTAAATTATAAATTTTACCCGGATTAGGCCGAAGGGCTCACTCGTGGGTGGTAAGCCATCAGCTCCGGTTATGGTTTTTAGCTGAGAAGTAACAACATGTACGGCAGCTCCAGATGTTAATCCTTGGACTAGATGGTCTGATAGCCAAACAGCTAGAAGTCCAGCATTCAGAAGTCCAAAGAAAATCTAAAGACTTTTATTTCTGCAAGGTTAATGGCATTTTCTACAGAAAGCGGATCACGGAACCTGCCACAATCCCACCAATAACGTGATAGCAGA